AAATTTATATTTTAAATCATAAAACCTAACCAATATTTTATATAAAATATTTTAAAAAAAAATGCAAACAAGATGTTTCTAAAAAATGTAAATTTCCAAAAAATTTCGAAAGAACACCAAAAAAATTAATTTTCAAGAACGTAACTAATACAAATAAAAATTCAAGTTTTTCAAACAAATATCAAGTTTAAAAATTTCAATTTCTCAAAAAAATTCTAATTTTTCAAAAACAGTTCGAGTTTAAAAAAATTTAAATCTTTCAAAAAAAATTCAGTTGGAAAATTAATTAAAAGAAAAATAATTTCTCATTAAGCAATTCGAAATCATAGTTATATGCATGTTTCAGACATTTGTTTTAAATTTTTCTTTTTTCAATAGAATTTAGAAAAAAATACAAATTACTCTGCTGTCGAAATAATTATATATTCTAACTAACTTTTAATTCAAACCAGAAGCTGTTTTCAAAAAAACAAAAAAAAAAAAGAAAAGAAGCTATTATAGTATATTTTATGGAATCTTAAAATGTGGTAAAGAAAATTTAGCAAACGCTGCGCGTCTTTTTTGTGCAAGAACTACTCTTTCGGTCGTAAGAAATGCGTTTGGCATGCAAATCTTTTAAAGAAAAAATGCTATAGAAAAAAAAACTTTAATAAAATGCTAATGCAAATAAATAATACAAAAATAATAAAAAAAAACAGTGTATATGCAAAAATGTTAGAGCAAGTAAAATTATGAATATGTAGTATATAAAATGAAAACGTGTATTGTAAAACTAAGAAAAATAAGAATTAATTATAATATAAAGTATTTACTTAAAAGTAACAAAAACAAAACAACATGAATTAAGTATAGCTACAAAATACTATTTATATGGATTTCTGTAATTTTAGTAAAAAATATAATTATAAAAAAATTTAAGCAAAAGATAAAAAAACAGCGAGTACGCAAATAAAAAAGATCCCACAGGGACAAACAAACACAGCATTTTATATTTTGTCGTTGACTACTAGCAGACTATGCTTCATGTAATGAAAAGGCATTTTTATTTTCTATATTCTTATTTTTTATTAAACTTATCATTATAAAGGCGTAAGAAATCTCTTAAACTACGTTTGCGCATCACTGAGAAGATAAAACAATGCACATTGCCTCCAAACACTCAAACAGGTACATTTAAGCCCGAGAAATCCTCCTTTAGCTCATCGTACAAATCTTTGTAGTCTTGATGTTCGCGCACTAATAATGCCACTGTGCCACGTTTTACACCCATAGCAGCACCTAAATCGGCGCGGCTGGGTGTATAAGCGTAAGGAATGCCCTTCTCTTCACAGACGGCAGGCAAATGGCACATAATGTCAATGGGTGTTACGTCGCCAGCAAATATGCAGATGCTAAAAGACATAAAAGATAAAATATTTGAATTATTGGATGTAAAACAAAAAAACAAAATTCTTAACATATTTTGAATAAATCTGCGCATTTTTCTCAAATTTTGGATTTGGCAATTACTTACCCGGTTTCACCTTTACGCAAACGTGTTTGTACATCTTTCAGGCCATTACGTAGGAAGGTTTTATGTTTCATTGCCTTTTTAATAAGTTTATAGCACTTTTTGGCCATTTTACGTGAGGCCATTGGCTGTGAAATACTGTTCACATACTTGAGTTTATCGTCATAGCTATCCTCCTCTTTGACTGACACATTTGCTACAGAAACCACTGAGGCATCCTGATCAATCGGTTCACTCTTGACTTTTACCATTTTTATGTTATTTAATTAAAATGTTTTAAAGAAGTGAAGATAAATATATAAAATTCCGGTTGTAGCCGTAAACACGTGAAAATTGACAGTTTAATGTCAGTGCGATTTGACAAGCTGTTAACTAGAATAATCGCCGTGGCGTGTTAAAAAATTAACTGCGCTGAATATTTGTACGCCGCAGGGTTGCATTCATTTTATCAATACCGCAAATAAGAAATGGATATTTTGGAAATGAAAAATTTTTAAATGTTTTTTGAACATTTGCGCATTGTGGGCATTGCATGTGTGGTATTTTCAAAAAATTAAACATAACAAAGGAAATAACATGTTAATGCTTTGATTGTACATACATTTTCCGTTTCCTAATATTTCATCAGCAGCCTTTAAATGTAGTTGCGGCAACTCTTTAATCCCTTCTGTCAATAACCGTTCGGTCTGGTTACACTCTTGTCAAACGCAGGGCGCAGGCGAACATCAAAAGTAGAGTCACTCGCAGGCAGCCATAAGTGCAGAAAATATACAAAAGAATTTGAATTCCGATCGAAAATTCGCGAGAATCTACATTATATATACTATAAAAGTGAAACCGACTAAAACGTGGACTAAATATTAAACAATACTAATTGTTTAATAACAGTGTTTTACAAGTTTTCACAAACGCAAGGAATTAACTACAGAACAAAATGAGTGCTGGTGGCATGGGAGAGAAAAGAAAATTGTCGTAAGTAGAGAAATTGGAAGTAACAGCCATTGGCAGCGACCGTGGCAGCGGCAGTAAGTTAAGAACAATGCGTTGGAAAAAGTGATTCTTTTCATAAATAAGAATATGACGTTTGTGGGCGGCTACAGCAAAGCAGCTGCAATTTTTTTAAGCTTCTAAAGCTTGAAAAACGTTAAAAGAGAATTGAAAATAAATACATGCATATGTTTCGAAGTAGCAGCTGCCTGCCGCTGTTACAGCGGCGTCGACATAAAAGAAATGGCGAAAAGAGAGCAGCGCGCTGCTGATGCGAACTTTCTTAGCATCGGCGTTGACGCCGACATTAATTGATTTTCCATACGAATATGCGGTTCTACATGTTGGCAGAAGTTGATTGCTGGCAAGCTGGCGCTGGGTTAACTGGGATGCTAGATGGGTGGTCGGGTGGGTGGGTTAACAGTTTGGTTGTTGATGATGGCGCAGATGCGTGTTGCAAATACAAAAAAAAAAAAAAAAAAATTAGGGAAACAAAGTGGATAAGGGAATTCCGAAAGATGCTTTTTAAAATTTGAAATATAACAAGAAGCAGGGGTCATGTGAAGTTTGGTTTGTTTTAGGTTAAGAATATGTTTGTTAATATAAAGCCAAAAATGTTTACTTAAGATGTAAGTAGTATGATGAAAATAGAATGCGCGGTATGATACGACTGCTAACTGCAGTAACAATAGGCAACCTTGGCATTTATAGAAGTCGTCATAAATTGTGCCAATTGGGGTAGGAAACTAACGAAATATCGAAATATATTAATTATTGGCTGTTTGTTATACATTTTAGAAAATCACTATTTTGTAAATAAATCGATAGTTTTTTTTATCGCATATAGCAAGCGAATCGCTTAAATTTGAAACAGATTTTGGTGTCTGGTTTCTTATCATATTCTATTCCTAATCATTTTGCAGTGGTTTAGTCATTTCTCAGCTATTTGTTTTATTACTTGTTGCTAATATTCGTGTCAAGACTTATCACTGTTACAGTGGCTTGTACGTTTGTGTAAAAAAAAAATAAAAGCATTCACGAAAAGATTAGCGTCTAAACAACTGTTGTACTGTTTCGCCTTATCGCTGTTGTAGTGTGCGCATCAAATTGCAGATATAGTGTGGTGAAAAACGTCAAGAACATGCAGCAGAATTGTGTTTCTAGCAAACACTTGTCCGTCCAGCCCATGTATGTCTACCATATCGCTAGAATGGTTCTAAACATGTGGAAATATGGGTATATACCTACATTTGCATACTTTCATAAATGTTACATATTTATCTCATATATGGTTCAAAAACGCTTGGGTGCTGTGTGGTTAGAATGTAAATTCCTAATTATTTTATTTAATAGTGAAAGAATTCTTTGCATACCAACATATATTCAGCAAATATCATACATTTATGTTATAACCTTTTTATGTCAGGTGGTTTGCCAATAACCTTGAACAGTACTTTGGTACTCAAAATCCGCACAGCTTTACGGCCTTTGATACAGTGCGATTAGTTAAAGCATGCATAATCTACTTTTAAACATTTTAGTTTTTTGTTACTTGTAGCTAAATTCAAGTGCACTTTAGCTTGTTCTAGTTGTTGCATATCATAACTTTTGTTGACGCAAGTGTTTCCACCTGTTGGTTGCCAACTGTTTGGGTTAACATTATATGCAAATCCAACTCTAAAGTATAATCTGCAAATACTGAAACGATTTTAACATAGAAACATAATTTACCCGCTAATAATTAAATATGTGTTGCAGCACCACATTGACTTCCCAAAATTGTTTGGTGAACCCACATTTATACCATTATATGTATGCATTTACCAAAATCCATATATCGTACATTAGCAACGCGGCAACCTCTGCAACCATCGACCGCGCTCGTTTCAGTGTCAATGCTACGCAACAAGGTCGTGGGCTGGAGGATCAGAGTATGGTAAAAAGGGCGGTACCAGTCATCAATGCCGTCACCAAGGGCTACACATATCAAGCGTGGCACTTGGTGAAAAAAAAGAAAATTGCAATTGACGCTGCTGCTGTCGTCGCGTTTGCTGCCACTGCAGCCCTTATTTCAACTTTCCGCATTCCTTGAATACAACAGCGAGCAGCGCGAAGCGTCCAATCTGCGCAATGCAATAATTTTCTACGGCGTATATGCACATAATTTTAATATATTTATTGTAATAGGCAAGCACGCTGTTGTGGAACCCCGTCCCAGCTCCACGATAAGCAAATTTGCTTTGTATTGTTTGATTTCTATTTAAGTACAATCTTTTTATTTCTATGCAAACACGTACAAAAAACATTTCAATTTTACTAATTCATATGTATATATATATATATACATATATATACATATAGAAGTATGTTTGCGCTGCAGTGAGTCATCGGGGGACTTCACGAAAGTCTATTTGGCAGCAAACAGGCATTTGTGTTACATATACTATGCCGTAAAAGTGTGTGCATTATAGTTAAAATTGGTGTAAGAATGTATAATTTATGAAAAAAAAATTTTTTTTCAATTGTGTAATTAATTTAAAATTGTTCGAAACCCACAAAAATCATTAACTGTAGTTGCACCGAAACTATAATATCCATCACAGGCTCATGTTTCCTTTACAAGTACTTAATTTTGATTGGTCAGTTTGTGGCAAAATATATAAAAATACAGCAAAGTTTGGCCTAATTTAATGATAACAAATAGTCAAATGGTTTTTGGAATGTCAATGATATAGCTATGCGATTTTTTTCCAAAATATAATATCACTTGTGACAGTTGCATTGCATTGCAATCAATTAAAATTACAAATGTTCCGTATTTTATCATCATATTTTATCAAGGGTTTTCCACTTGGTGTATATTCGTTTTATATTAATTATGCTATAACTGCCTCATGGCTAAGTGACAGTGTACCTAAGAATTGAACTATTCTGTGTAAATGCCGTATATAAATATGTATGGGTGCGTTTGTATGGTTGCTTTTTGTTGTTTGAGGCTATAATTAGCCAATATATCAAATATTTAGCACTGATAAGCGTTGCTAATTAAACCTTTTGCTATAAATTAAAAGAAACTGCACGCTATCGGAACGATTACCTAAGTGTAGTTTTTCAAAATAAGGTATTTACATACATAAAAGCTGTTTCCCTATAAAATAGTTGCACAAGATTATTTATAAATTGAAACAAATGCATTTGTTAGCATTTTTCTACACTTTTCAGATTTCTTGTGGCTATTGCGGTTAGCAAAGGGCGGTCTACTCCTTGACGAGCGTCTCAATATCGTCAATCTTATCTGATGCTCATTCGCTGCTTACAACTTTCCATGTGATTCTTTTTTTTTCTCATCCATATTTTGCAATTCTTTATTTTACACTTTGTTTACATTGTATTGTATTTTGATATATGTTTATACATATGCAGAAATGTGTATATGTTTTTAGCTATGCTTGCCATGTTTGGAGCATTGTGGGTTAAAAAGCCAGCATTATGCTGAAAGTCAAGTGCATGTCGTGTACTAGGCTTTAGTTCGTTGTTTGTAGGTAAGTGTGTGTGTGTTTGCGGCGTGTATGCAAATRTTTGTTTTAATTGATTTTATGAATAAACTGTAACGTTGGCAAGTTATTGCTGCTCAGTGGTTAGGGCGTTTTATTGTCTTCAATAAAAAGTGCCATAAAATCGTTAATTTATATTACCGGGATTTCCGTTTCAAAGTCAGAAGATATTGTTGACATGCAGAATATATTTTTTGTTTCCTTTTTTCAGATAAATATTGACTTTTACATATTTTTTTTTTGTTTAAATGAAAATTTATTGAAATTCGCTTTCAATTTCCAGTACATCGGGCGATTCTCTATATCAAATATTGGGACTTCCTAAAACAGCTACGGCTGATGACATTAAGAAGACTTACAGAAAATTAGCACTTAAATACCATCCAGATAAAAATCCAAATAATACCGATGCCGCCGAAAAAGTAAGTTTTAGTTATATTTGTAGTTGAAAATAATTATCCCCCTCTAGATGTAGATTTGAAAGCAACGTAAAATTCTTTTTTTTTCATAAATTTAAATATCTAATATATAAATACTAAATAACATTACAACTTGTTGAAATATTATAACTCACATATCAGCAATTTTTCTTAGCTGAATTGGTTAGTTTATTGTATATTGCCAGTGTATTGATAGATACTTGTTATTTCAGCTCACTACAAATAAAAATTATTGCGCTGAATTGATAGCAATTATCTTTTTATTGGGCTGAATAAAATTTAAGTTCCTCCGATAGTGTTACTCTTAATGATTTGTATAAAAAAATACTAATTTCTTAAAAGTATGCTTTTAACTGTTGAAATCGTATATAAATTATTAGCTGAATTGCTTTAAAAGCCCTGAACTGCTGCTAAAACCTTACAATTTTATACAAATAGGAGTTAAGTTAGAGGTGGAAAGGTAATATAAAATAAAGATAAAGCTAAAGATGGAAACATGCTATTATTTATAATGCTTAATTTTAAAAATATTAAATTTTGTTGTTGTATTGGCTTATAAACAGTAATTGCTATTGTTTGAAGCGCTGAGTAAGCAAATACTAGTGTTAAATCTGAATAAATTCTTGTACGTTTTTTTAAAACATATTTAATCAAATTGTAATGCGCTGAATACAAGTTTTGTCCGCTGAGTATGAGTCAATTGTCTAATATCAGTTTACACTAAATATTAGTTAATTGAAAGCTATTTCTTATTTATTATGCATGCATGATTATTTAAATTTGCAGTTTGTAAACAGCGCTGAATAGAATTTTCTATTTTAATTTCTAGTGTTTGATCTTAATAAGTTGTTATACGTTTCTTTTAAACATAGATAAACAAATTGTAATGCGCTGAATATAAATTTTCTGCGCTGAATACAAAGTTTGCGCGCTGAATTTGAGATAAGTTTCTAATAATGGTTGATACTGTATAGTAAATTTAAATTTAGAACAAAATATTGTGAATGTGATTAATATTCATACAATAAAATGTATATGAAATAATAATTTTGCAATGTTATCACATTTTCACATTGACTTTGGCTGATAAATACTCTATTGATTTATATGCACTTGCGAAATAAATTTCTCTAAGCTGGAATTAAATTATGAGGCAATAGAAATTAATGCGCTGATTAGTAGTTGTTTATATAGATGTGTAGGTGTTAATCAAAGCTGTGTACATTTGAAAAATCAGTTATTTTTTTGTCAGTAATCCGTTTCTATAGGATTTCATTTGTTTTGCATAAATATAAATTGACTTTTCTACATTTTCTTTACAGTTCAAGGAAGTGAATCGCGCTCATTCTATATTGAGCGATCAGACGAAACGTAATATTTACGATAATTATGGTTCATTGGGTCTTTACATTGCCGAACAATTCGGTGAGGAGAATGTGAACGCCTACTTTGTGGTGACATCGCCGGCGGTGAAGGTGCGACCAAATAAAATAAAATAAACGAGAATTGCTCATAAGAAAAAAATATATAAAATAATTACTTGCAGTGCTGAAAAAATGTTGGTTATAAATGCTTTTATGGTTTAAATTAATTAATTTTAAATTTATAT